GTCGGGGGTAAGGCAGGTACCTTAGGAAGGTGTCTGGGGCACCGAGTCTTAAACTGTCAATTCAGACTCTATTCATCATGCAGGAGTGTCTCCTCCGGCTGCAAAGTATGACAGGCAACAGGGACAGCACCAGAATAGGGACGAGGTGTGCAGAGGCTGGCCTGGCACCAAGTGTAGGGCAGGGGACAGAGGTGGGGGCCGGTCCACTAACAGAATGCGAAGCTAAGACAGCAGAGAGAAAGGGGAAGGGCCACCCTGTGCGGGAGGCTGAGGAAGCCCCAGCCTGTGCCCCTCCTTTGTTCTTGCACATCAAAGGGAAAAGCCTGAACCGGGTATAGGGCGCGGAGGGGGGGGGAGCTTACCTCCATGTGCTTTGAAACTTTATAGCCACAAAGGTAGCACCTTCCAGACAAGGCAGCAAGCCTTGCACTGCATGGATGCAGGGGGGCGGGGGTGGGGGGGGGTGGGAGGCGGGGCTCTGAGCTGATTCACACACACACACACACCCCCCACCCCACCCCCGTGTTCTCGATCCAGCCCTTATGACTAGCACTAACCTGGCTGGTAACCCCGGGCGAGTCACTGCATCTCTGGGCCTGTTTCCATGTATGTAACGCCCAGAGCTGGCACTACCTCTTTCAGCCCGAATACTCCTGGGTGAATGATCTGAAGCGAATGTCTCCCTAACACAAACCCGCTGTCATCATCTGTTCCGTCTTCTAAGGCTGCGAAGAAGCCAGTGATTTCGCAGGAAGCACTGAGAAGCTGGTTCATACTTGCTTTATACTAGGAGAGGAAAGCTGGAGAATTAGCCCAAAAGACACAAAAGCATTTTTCACTTGGCCCGCACCCCTTAAGTTTTTTTTGTACTGTTTATTTATTTTTGAGGAAGAGAGAGAGAGGGAGGGAGAGAGCAGGGAAGGGGCAGAGAGAGAGAGACACACACACACACACAGAATCCAAAGCAGGCTCCAGGCTCTGAGATGCCAGCACAGAGCCAGACGCGGGGCTCAAACTCACAAACCGCGAGATCATGACCAGAGCCAAAGTCAGACGCTTAACTGACTGAGCCACCCAGGCACCCCACCTTTGCCCATACTCTTCAGTACATGTTTATCAAGCACCCACTGCATTTGTTGAAGCTAGAGATATGAAAAACACACAGCCAAGGCCCTCTGGATCATTCCATCTAACTCTGGAACAAAGTCTCCAAAGGTTCCAGAAAAACGGTGACACTCAGAGTTATACATCCCATGTCAAGGACAGCCCGAAAGCCCCCGGCCCAGGAAATCTGCAGACCCTGGGAAGAGCCAGCACTGACTGGTCCACGACAGAGACACTAACCAGCAGAATCTGCGGGCTGAAGGTGGGGGATCCAATGGGATCCTTGTCAAACTCTCTTGAGACGGTGGCACTCTGACAGGGTGCTGCGTCCCAGCTCTCTTGTGCAACTGCCTGATCGTTGCATGAAACACGGTCAGGCACCCCCGTCTCTCTGCCATGCACAAAACGATCACATTGTCCCAGCAGAGGGGAAGGGTAGACAGGAGGCTTCAATACATTCACGCTGCAGCTGTCACACGCTGATTTCAATGCGCACAAGACGCTTTGTGACAAGGCCGACAATTTTCTTTTTCTGAAGCCAATTGAGGGAAAAAAAAAAACGACCTCTGATTGCTCATTTTATTATTGCCAGAGGTGACGCGAATGCATACTAGATTCAGGTACTAGACTCTCCACTCGAGCGTACAGATCTACTGACGGGGGCTTTCTATTAAGGTAAAACGTTCTGGACACAAGCTTTCACGATTTGCTGTGAAACCTGCCCACCTAACGACTCTTGGCAGGAAAACAACGACAGCCATGTAGGATACGGCATTTCAGGAAGGCAACGTTCGGTCCGTTTCAAGACATTAAAAATTAAATATCCTTTGTGCAGACTGGGATATATACCTCAACCAGGGTTTCCCATGATGCCAGAGGACGAGCATACCATGTAAGGTCGCTTCTTGATGGGGACTTTCCGAGGTCAGCACTGCGTCTCCCACATTATGCGTGGGAGACAGAGGCACAGCTGGTGAAACCACAGCCCCCCCTCCCCCCCCCACCCCCCGCCACAGCTAGCCAGCGGCAGGACCAAACTTCAACCGCAGGCCTGTGGGGCTGCACAGCCCGTGACCTCCCTCCCGCACCGCACCGTCATGTCAGACGGCAGCTCTGCGAGACACCTGCGCAGAAATCGGGGTTCCGGGGGCAGAACGACGGCCATCGCTCAGCGCGCCGGCCACCCTGTCTCCCAGGCAAGGAGGTGCAGCCGAGGCTAGAGTTGGCGGATTCTCCCTGGAAGCTCTATGAGGCTCAGCCCCGAATTCAAATCCACGCAGGCAGGAGACGTCCCACTGAACCTTCGGCATCTACTGCCCCTGACACGGGGTGGGTAGCCGCTAAACCATTTTGTTTTTCAATTAATGAGGCGCCAACTCCCAGCCGATATCCAGAACAGGGCTTTGGCCACTTAGTGACGACAGCAATAAAAGTGACACGCGCTAAATTTATTTCGGGCTTCCTTGTGCCCACACCCCAGGCTGGATCTCCCATGGAGTATCCCATTCATATGTCATGATACTCTACCAGGAAAGCGCAATTAGCATTTCTACTTTGCAGAGGGGGACGTTGAAGCCCAGAGACTCTGATGCTATACCCCTCCTCTTCCATATGGCTTAGAGCAGAGAGAGAACAGACCGGAGGATGGACAAGCCTGGGTGGGGCATAGCAGGTGCCGTGTGACTGGAGGCAAACCTGGCACCACTCAGACCCTCATCCTCTTCTTCCCTAAGCAGACACATCCCATGCTCCGGTGATCTCAGGGACCCATTTATGTGATACACTCCATTATGATTCTTCTTGCATGCTTTCAAGGGTTCCCAGCACCTGCAACAACACAAACCTTAACTACCAGGAAGAAGGGACACATTGTTGGATAAGGGATCACTGTGGTCCTTGTGCAGCCAGACCACAAAGACGAGAGGCACATCCCAGTTGCCTTTCAACAACGTTCCCTTCACACAAATAAGAAAATGAATAAAAAGCAGAGGCAGCTCCGAGCATGATGCATAGAGACGACATCTCGGGGCCAAGAGACGCAGGGTGGCTCTGCCCCCCGCCCCCGCCCTCGAGTCCCCAGAAGCCTCCTGCCTGCTTGGACGGGAATTCAGGAAGAACGCAGGGTCGCCGAGGAGCAGAGGAAGCCCAACCCAGATGCCCTTCAGTTCGGGCGAAGAAGAGAGGTCCTGCATAGACACACAGCTCACATGTTCAAAACCGACTGCGAATAATGATTTTGCAGATGTACAACGGCACCCTTCAATGAATAAATTAAAGGCACCACAATTGAATGGGGAGCAGCTGGTACTCCCCACCAGATGGCTTTGCTGATCGGAATAGTTTTAAACATTGTTTTATTTCCAAAGATAAGCAAAATAAGAATCTGGTTAACCCTTGAATAAAAAGAACCTCCAGAAAACACTTCTCTGGAATGTATTTCATTTTGATGGAAAGCATGAACGATCAGACTGAATACCAATGTCCTGGGGCGGGGGGGAGGGGAATTTAGCACAAGGTGAAGGAGATTTCTCCAGGGCGCTGTCTGCAGTCACTGAGCACACTGTCAGCCTGGTCCTTACTAGCTGTGGCCAGAGGCAAGGACAGTGACACTCCAGCACCATCCCGGCTTGGAGGCATAGACCCCACACGTGGATGGGCAAGTGCACCAGCCCCCCGAGGGCGTCGGGGAGGTGTGCTGGGGGCTGCGGAGAGCTCCCAGACCGTTTGAAGCTTCCAGGGTCAAAATCTTTAAAGAAACATTTCACACATTAAAAGCATTGTTTTTAAGTCAAATTAAGCTCAGATGTGTCACTAAGTGATACAAAACCCGCACAGGGCTGCAGCCTACCTTGCCGGCTGCGCGCTGCTGGGGGCCAGCTGGGGGCACCCCAGTGAGAACTGTCTTCTACCTGCAGGGTGCCCTGGAGGACAGTTTGAGAAGCAGTGATGTAGGACAGGGGGGAGGGGAACCAACAGGAACGAGCACCCGCTCCTGTGGACGCCCCTCGAGGATGAGGCAGTACCGAGGGTACACGTGATTGCTCCATTTTGCAGGTAAAATAAACGGAGGAGCTGGGCGGTGAAGTCACTTGTCCCGAATGACACACACGTAAGACGCAGAGCTGGATTTAAACCCAGGCTGAATCTCTTTCCTCTTTTTTTGTTTTTTTTACTGTTTTCTTTTTTCGCACGTTGCAACTGGCTTGTTGTGGGGGGGGGGGGGGTTGTTCCCCACTTACACGGCTCCACCTGACTTCCGGTTTCCCTTAGGTAGAGCAAGCATCCCTTCTGCAACCACAGCGACAAGAAAGATGAAGTCAGAACAACAAATGTGCAGTCAAACAGGGTGGCGAATGGAAAACGGACCGGGCCAAGGCCCCCAGGACAGAACTTCCCATCTCTGAGCCTCGGTTTCCCCTCCTCTGGGAAATGAATGCGCTCTTGGCCCCGTCCCCAACGCAGGTGGCATGGGGTGATGGCGATGGGGCCGCAGGACCCCTCGAGGCAGGGTCTGGTGGCCCTAAAGGGCTTGGTGCAAAGTACAACCTGGAAGTTACATGGAAACCCCACTTTCTCTCCTCAGTTCTCGAGTTATCTCTGTGTTCATAGCATCTTCCCACAGGACACTCCAGGATGTGCCGTTTTCATGAAAAAAAATCCACTTCCCCTTTCACTAAGAATAACGTGCCTGGGAATGAGCCCTACCCTCTCCCACCACCAAGGAAACCCCGGGGCGGGCACGCTCGCTTATAAACCTGCGCCATCCAAAGAGCACCGACAGGCCCTGAGCACCAGGGACGGGCGGACCCCAGAGGACCAAGTCTCGTGCTATTAACTGATGCCAAACGAGGCTTTGACAGCGATGACCCAGGATCAAGCGTCACACGGGTACTCACGCGTGGCCACGAGCGCATCACCCTCGCAGAAAGAGAAACGTGGCAGCGGAAGAAAAAAGATGAAAACCCAAACCACCAAGTGTGCAGACGTACACACATGCCCCGTCTGGTCGCCGTGTGCCCCTGGGCAACAAACTGCTTCATGCTTCTGTGCCTCAACCTGCTCATCTATATAGAATGGAGACAATGACATGTCATCGCTGTAGGTATCGAGCGGGGATAACCCACGCGAGATGCTCGTGTGGTGGCTGCTGACACGAGGGGCTCAGCAAGCACCATCCCCGTTTCTCTTCTTGGTCTCCCTCCTACCTCTGCCGAAAGGATCTCAGCCAGCGGGAGGGATGCGGGCCTGGTGTACGAAGACTCAGCCAAGTCTGGCTGCGAGGCGGGAAGGGGGGAAGTTGCAAAGGCTTCATATGGGCAATGTCTGGAAGGGACCAAAATAGGCCTGTGGAGGAGCCGCCCCGCCTCCCCGCAGTGACACAGTGATGAAGACACCACTGCCACCAGAGGGCCCGGAGCCCAGCGCCATCTCTCAGATGGAAGGAGAGGCCCACGGAAGAAACCGAGTTACGAAACGGTGCTTTCACACCCTCCTTCAGACCTTAGAACACAGACCCAGCTTCTGATAACCTCCCTCAACTCTGGCATTCGGAGTCACAACTCTGGAAAATAAATAGGTCAGGCAAGTATTATTTATAGACGAGTATTACCCCAGACGCTGAACCTGGAGATGCTCAGGCTAGGGAAGAGGCATTCTTTTCTCCATTAAGTGGAGACGTTCTCAAAGTGTTCGGTGGCACATATTTTTAAAACAAAAACAAAAGAAACAAACAAAAAAAGCTTGACGAGTTTCAATACTTGAAGTGGGAGAGGTGAACATTCAGGAAAGTATTATAACAAAGGTCACGTTCTCCAAGAGTACCTCTGTTCCTCTCAAGTGGACACATCTATGCCCATCTTGCCGATGAACCGGGGTTGCTGCGAACCCAGGACAGAAAGCCTCCTTTTCGCAAATAAGTAAAGCTGAACTGGGCATGGGTGGGGGTGGGGGGGAGGGGGGAGAAAGGTGGTGCTGGGGAGGGCGGGTGAGGTAGCTATACAGTGGATGACATCAGACAGCTGAGCTACGAGAGCTGTTCCGGACCCTCAGTACTGTGTAAACAGGTAAACAAAGCAACTGCTTCATGTTAACCACAGAAGAGTGGAATCTTTTTCATGAAAGTTCTGGAAAGCATTCGGGCCTCATTATGAAGATTAGGACTTGTTTGCAGAGCAGACTTTCTCCTGAGCTAAAAAAAAACAAAAAACAAAAAACAAAAAACCTCTCAACTTAAAAAAAAAAAAGAAATTGACTTTAAAAAAGTCCTTGTGGCTGACTTCCTATCAAGAACCTCTCTGATCTGTTTCAGCGAAATAAATATTTGGCTAAAGCACGCAGTTGTTCAGACCCAACAAAGGCGGCTCGCCGTCAGTAAGCTCGCTCTCTGCACAACCTGGGTGCTTACATGCTGCCCTCCCCCACCCACTCCAAAGGCCCAGCAGAGGCTGTGGAAGCAAACAATGAGCACGGGACTTAGAATCCCTGGGAAGACATGGTGAGCGGAGCAGGACCATGCGCCCGCCACCCAGGGGACGCCACCAGATCCTGAAACAATCACATCAGCTGTCCCGCTTTGGGCAGGCCACCTAATCTCTAAGCCCTGAGCCTCTGGGCTGTAAACGGGGACAACATCCACTCCCTCTAGTACTACCAGATTAAGGGAGAAACAGAGGCCCGGGATGCCCCCTCTACTGTCTATTCCCACTGCAATCTACCATCTTCCCCAACATCACTGACCCATGAACTTGACCCATGAACTCCTGTCACCCTTCAGATGTCAGCCAGGGCCCTCTTGCTGCACCCCAGGCCAAGTCAGGGCCCACGCTCATTTGCCCAACCCTTTCCATTCCTCACCTCTGTGTGCTTCGCGGACTAGCACCTGCCTTGACCACTGTACTGTGAGCTCCAACAGCAGCAAGAGCGTCTATGCTGTTCACTTTCACAACTACTTCCTAAAGGAAGAAAATTAGAGGGAGGCAGGGGGTGGGAGAGCGGGCAACATATGTAAAAACATAGTACGTCGCATACAGAGAAGTCCAAATAAATGCGAGGGAGAGGTGGTATTTAAAATAGAATCGAAAACTCTGCCTTGTGCAAGTCTGCCTCTCTAGGATTGGTCCTTATGTCACTGAAAACCCACTTCCTGGTGTCTCTGGGGCCTGCAGCCGTCACTGGCTTCCCCCCCAGGACGATGGGCTGGCCCGGGGCCTCATTGGCTTTAGGCTCCTGACGCCTCTGCGAGCCGCCCCCACCGCCCCAGTCCTGAAGGAGCAGAAGCCAGGGCCGCTGAGCCGCGCGATCGCACCGCGCGCTGGCCAACGTCAAATATACCCCTTGCCTTTCTAAACGAGCTTTCATACTTAAAAGAGCACAAAATGATACGTCCTAGTAAATTATATGATTCTTATCTGTGGTCAGAAAGTTTGCTCTTTTCCGTTCTGTTTTTACCCGTCTTCAGTTCTTATTAACCCTTTCGGGCAAATTTCTGAATGCTCTTGGACGACGCTGCTTCTCAGCACAGGGCCACACAGCCCAGGACTGAGTTCAGAACAAAAGAAAGGGGAAAAAAACCAACCTTCTGTCCTTCGGGTCATCTTCATTCTCTTCCTGGAAAGGGTTTGGAAATGTTTCAAAACCGTCAAGTCTGCAGAGTGGACTAAAAATCCAAATTACCTTTCTTTGTTCTTCTTTCTTTCTTTCCCCTTTTCTTCTGCGGCCCTCTCAGCTCCTTTCCCTTTTCTCTACTTCAGAAGAGATAAAATACCAATTCCCTATATAATTAAATGCGCTCCTCCATTTAATTAATTTGAGGGATTTACTGGGGTTTATGGGTGGGGGAAACAGATTCGGGTGAAATGCTTATTCAGGGCATCGCGCAGGGCTGCGGCGGGCAGGGATGGGCGTGTGAACCGCAGAGGGGCGGGCGTGGGGAGAAACGGATGCCTCCCGGTCCCTGCAGTGCACACAGGCCGGGCTGGGGCTCGAACCCGGGGCCATTCTCAGCACCGCCGCCCAGGACCTGTTCCATCCCTGCGTCTGGGTCTGCTCCCAGGCCTTCCCCGCCAACCCTGCCCCCATCACAACACAGGCTGGAAGCGACCGGGGGACACTTGCACACAGCCACGGGGGCTGATCTTTTCTCTAAATGTTCCTACATCCAGATGACTTTCACCTTCCGATGACAAACAGCTACGACCTGGCTGGACGGTCTTTGGTGGACTCAGTTTTTCTGAGGTTTTTGCACCCTTTTTGCAGGTGTAAAACCTTAAACAGAAGTGAATGGTTAGGAACAAATGCCCGAGAGGCAAGGAATGGCGAAAAGCATGGACTTAACCATGTGGAAAAGAGACGGAGACATTTCAGCTTGGACAAGGTGGCACCCTTACCTAGTGCAGGTCCCCTCCCTCCCAGCGGAGGTGGGTCCGCACCCCCGTTCCCTTGTGCTCCCCGCACAGCCTTCTGAGACCCTGCATGGCTTTTTGGCCACAGAAGTTGCATTAGTACATACCTTGGCTTCCCCTTCCTGCTTTTGCCCCCTTCATCCCCACCCCTGCTTGGATCTGATCCCCCCCCTCCAACCAAAAGGGCAGCTGGAACAGAGGAACCGTGTGCATGTCCCCGAGGACCTGGCTGACCTTCTGGGAGCACCACTGGGTGCATGCAGGCCCCCAGCCAGGGCAAGGTGACAAGAGCACCCCAGACACCACATTCTGCACTCACACTGCAGGATAGGGTTCAGGGCCAGGACTCTGCAAGGAGTATCCTTCAAGCCTCATTAAAATTCTCTTTTGGGATTTCAAAGAAGAAATTAGGAACATTGTTCAAAGGTAGCATGAAGCTCTTAGATACTCATCTCCTACCGGCATTCTCTGGCCGGTGATTTCCATTCACATCAACAAAACCACAGCACCTCCGGCACTTGTTCAGACCGAACTGCTCTGTCACCGGGGCTCAGCCTGGAGGAGGGAGACAGACGACGTCCATCCTACCCTCCTGAGACCTGCCCGTCCGGTCGGGCATGGAAGCCACGAGGACAGAACCCAACGTCTGAGAGAGAGAGGCCGGTCAATCTGCCCAAAACCTAAGCTGACTTTCAAGTCTGACCAAACGGGGCACTTGGAGGATGTTACGTGTTGGGCAATGACACTCATAACCGGAAGCCGAGGCCGTCAAGGCCATGGGGGGAGCAAAGGCGGAAGTATGTTCACATCATTTCCCCAGGCTCAGTTGGGTTTTCAAATTTCACCAGAAGTTGTGTCTAAACACGTAAAATGAAAACGGTGCACCGAGGCAATGACCCAGATGCTTCATGTCAAAATTCCCCGAACCTTTGCCCCAGGGAGTGAAATAATAGAAGCAAAAAAAAAAAAAAAGGGCATCTGGTTCATTCCAGGAGTAGCTGCCTCCAGTCCACCCTCCTCAGGGGTCACAGGCAGAGCCAAGGGAGCGGCAAAGAGGAGTCCGCACTTGGGAGCAGCTCCGCGTGCAGGTCTCTCAGGAGTAGGGTGGCGGCTACGAGCACGTGGGTCACCCAGCCGGCTGGGGTTCCCCTTCTGGCGGCAAAGCCTGACCCCAAGCCCGCCTCCGTTCCCCATCTGAAAACTGGGGATGATGATGATGATGTCTAGTCTAGGCAAACTGCAGACACGACTGAGATCATCCGTGGTGCAGAGTGGGGAGCCCGGCACCCCCTAAATGCCTGAATATTCGGCATCTCCTGATTATACTCTTCCTCACATTACCAGTATGCCTATGCCCGTTACTACCCTTGCCCCTCGGGTTTGTGCTTCGCTAGCACGTCAGGTGGGTCTCAGGTCTGGTCTGTCTCCCTCAGCTCCGCGTTTCACTCTGGCCTCTTCTAGAAGGCTGGCTCGCTGAAATGCGTCAGAAATGAATTAACTTCGCTTTGCTGCCTGTTGCCACAACTGATCCTTCACGTTCTAATCCAGAAAAAGAAGATCAAAACACATGCATTTTAATGTCTTCCGAGTCTGTTTAAAAAGAATTGCTATGCTCTTGTAAAAAAAAGTCTGCTTTCATCTCAATGCCTTGATATCCATACTCTTAAATACAAAGAAAAAAAAAACAGAAAGAAGAAACAGTTATTTTAAAAATATGATCTTGTGGAGGCGCCTGGGTGGCTCAGTCAGTTAAGTGTCTGACTTTGGCTCAGGTCACGATCTCATGGTTCATGAGTTTGAGCCCCATGTGGTGCTCTGGGCTGACAGCTCTCTGCTCGCTCGCTCTTTCAAAAATAAATAAACATTA